GCACGACTTTGAATTTTTGCTGCATTCTACCCGTATAAATTGAAAAGAAAAAAATGATATTATGATATTAATTGACATTTTTTACTCACTATTGAAAAATGACTTTTTATATCCTTTAATTCAGTAATTTTACATCGATTCAACAATTGAAATAAAAAAAATCCTTATTTTCAATATCGATTATTCAGCCAATATAGAAAGGCATATTTTCTATATCAGTTATAATAAACGATTACTACAAAAAGTCGTATTTTTAACGTGGATTATAAGACTTTCTGTATCAATTAATTGTTACCCGAACTGATAATTAGTTATAGCAATAATTAACCCATATAATTTATATTCATTGTTTGTGACTCAAATTGATTATAATATCATTATACTCACTATGATTAATTAAAAAACAAATATATGTGAGAAAAAAAGCAGAGGAAAAAATATATTATAAAAATTTATTGATATCTATGTTAATGTATTATTAATATTATATTTCACGGCAGGAGTCACAATCTAGTTCTTTATTTAATGCGATGCAATACAAATCTAACTACAAATGCATTGATTATCCAATACAACATGATATATAGCACCAAGCATTAAACAGTTTTGAATAGATAATGCAAGACACAGTTTATATTGACGTGCACGTTTAAATTGCTATGAACTCTTGCTAATACTCTTTCATTCAACTGGGAGTAATATTAATACTTACTGTCATTCTGTCAAGGATAATCAATACAATGCACGTCATGAACGCATTAATTATTTAAACAATACTGATAACATCTTTAGTTTTAGTTAATTTATTTTGTTCCGGTTTTGTTATCTTTTATCTGTAAGGTAGTAAATAAGGAATTAAAAACAATTTATTTATTGAAAACATATTATTTAATTAAAAAGGTAGTTATTTATTCCTTTTAAGTTTGGAATACCAATTTTGTTTAAACCTTCCATTTCTCTATGTTGCGTGTCAAAGTCTTAGGCGTACGTAGACATAAACGCATTCTATAATAAGTCCAAGTGCAATTAATTATGAATATGCGCCCACAGATTAGGCTCTTAACTGAAAAAAGAAGGAACTAGTTGTAGTGTGAGCTTTTCAAAAGGCAGAGTAAGACAACAAAAGTTAGTAAACTTTCCTTAAATATATAAAAAACTACCCTTTGCTCAATCGGAAATCCAATTCCAGTTCCTTCTTTAGTAGTCCCTGGTGAGAAAAAAATGAGCCAGGAACTATGTATCTGCTTCTACATTTCTCATTTCACACTACACTTTGATTCCCTACCCCAGTTAAGTACCACTTACTTTGTCTCCTGAATTCACTTTTACTTTTTTGCTGGACAGCATAAAGCAGAACCTTTTTATTTTTCCTAACCTAGTTACTAGACATGGTTACTATGATTCCTCGTGCGGTACAAATTAATGTCAAGGATCCTATGGTTCACCTTCATTTCATTAGGATGTGTTTAAGGTAATAAATTAAATGTGGTCATGCATCACATGATCTTAAATCAGTTTTTACCTAAAATTTAATTCAGTGTTATTAATATTTTCTTGTAGATAAAAAAAAAACTAAAAAAATGTTAATCAGTGTCCTTAATACACTGGTTAAAGAATCAAAAGTAAAAAATTTATATTGAAAAGTATATCTGCACACTCTATTTTAGTTTTTAAAAGAAAACTTTTTATGTATTGATTTCTTTACTAGTGTCTTTAGAGTCCAGATTAGCATGATCAAAAACTTAAATACCTTTAGTAATTAGTTGAGATTATAATTTTGAATTACTTAATAAATTCTTGTGTTTTAGGTAACAAAAAGACAAACCAAAAGTTCCACACACTACAAAACAACATTCATTCTAGGTTTGAGTCTGAAGCACACGACAAATTGTTAAGCATTCATTTGAGCATTTGTCATGTGAGAATTTTCCAGTAGTGTTTGCAATTTGCAGTTAAAAATCAAAAAGACCCCACTCAGCCATAAATAAAATTGCACCGAATACTTGTGCTGGATTGCTAGTTTCTAGATATGTTGACATTGTCTCTCCAAAAAGTTAATAGACCCCATGAAAAAATGTGGAAAGTTCAGTGAGAGTTCTAGATCTCAATGACCTCATGGTCCCCTCCCACAACTAAATTGCAGTGACCAATGCACATTGACGAGTAGCTAAACAAAGCAAACTTCTTAAAGGGTGATATTGGAGTTGAAAATAATACTGCACGTGCATGTAAATTTTTAGTTTTCTAACTAATTAAGTTCATTGTTAACATTATTTTGTTATTGAATTAAATCAAGGGTATAGTTTTATTTAGTGTAAGATTATTTTTTCTCTATTTAGATTGTCCCTCCCTACAAATACTTTTTTGGCAAATTTAATCCTCTAATATTGCAAAACCAGAACTTGCTTACTACTTAAATTACCTCCTGAGTTTTATATAGATTAACAAATTATATTACTTTTTTCTCTAATATAATTAAGCATGCAATATTGCTTGAAGGTATTAAGTTGACGTATTTGCGTCAGTGTATCAGGGAAGATATGGTGGGTGGACCCATGTCTCCAAGATGTAGTCCTATGGGTCAAGGCCTCCCTGTCGGTAGAATTTCCTGTCAAATCAATTTTTGCTTAGGCGTCAAAAACAAAACTAGAGGAATAACCCAAACAATAAAGAAAAGAAACAAGAGCATATATATATATATAGTAATAAAACACTGGTCGCTAATAAGATTGCTATCCAGTATTCCAACTCATTTAGTCATTTTACACAAGCAAGTTGATCACAAACATAATCTTTTTTTTTTTTTTTTAACATTACTATATTTTTAATACAAAATCAAATTGATTACGAATAATTTAATAGTTCTGAATTTAACCAAGGTATCAGTTTCTGTCAATCTTTAACATCAATTTTGCGGTGGGAAGATAAAGTCATGGGTCATAACTCATAAATCATGATGCGATGAGATATCCAAATCCAACCACCTTACGATTTCACTGTATAAAAAAAAAGTGGCCGAAAGGGGTAATGCAAATCACCATTTTGTCTTTCAATTTAAAAATATTTATCTTGAGAAAAAAAATATAATATAAACACACTAACATTTACAGTATAGTGTTTTTATATAGGATAAATTTGTTAAATTTATAATAATTATTTTTAAATCATATTTAGTATGATTTCTCATGCTTTTTTTAAAAAATTAAATGTTATTTCTTAATTGAAATGCAAGGGGGGAAATAAGGATCGGATGTGAAGGGTTTGGCTGAGGGAGAGATCTGTAATGGCAGGTAGAATTGGGAGAACCAGGAATCACGCGTAGGGCCGGTAATCACTGTGCAGTGCCTCTTTTTCTCAATGGGTAGGTGTGAGGGATGAAGGATTATGTTCTTCGTCAACAATAGAGGAATTATGTTAAACTGAAATATGTTCTTGGAGACGACGAATTATGCTAAAACCTCGTGATCTCATGTGGTTGGTTATGTATATGATATAGAATTAGGAGAGAATTTGACTTTTCATACTTTGTTATTGAATTTTTTTTCTCCTCACATTCTCTCTATGCACCCAACATGAAAGTCACAGAGATATATTTGTTCCTACGAGAGGCTATATATATCACGAGTCATGTCTTGACACTGGTATGAAACTAAAAAAACAAGATGAAAGACAATACCAAAAAAAAATAAAAAAGGATGAAATTATCCAAAAAAAAAACCCAGAAGTATGAAAACTATACATATGTATATGAGTTAATCACTTATACACTACCAGTGTAAAAAAATTTTACACTGGCAACCAATCATATCTTTTAACAGTGTCATGTCAAATGCTTATTTATTGAAATAAGAATAAAATAAAATAATTTAAAAGATATAATTAGTTGTCAGTGTAAAAAATTTTACACTGGCAACCAATCATATCTTTTAACAGTGTCATGTCAAATGCTTATTTATTGAAATAAGAATAAAATAAAATAATTTAAAAGATATAATTAGTTGTCAGTGTAAAAAATTTTACACTGGCAACCAATCATATCTTTTAACAGTGTCATGTCAAATGCTTATTTATTGAAATAAGAATAAAATAAAATAATTTAAAAGATATAATTAGTTGTCAGTGTAAAAAATTTTACACTGGCAACCAATCATATCTTTTAACAGTGTCATGTCAAATGCTTATTTATTGAAATAAGAATAAAATAAAATAATTTAAAAGATATAATTAGTTGTCAGTGTAAAAAATTTTACACTGGCAACCAATCATATCTTTTAACAGTGTCATGTCAAATGCTTATTTATTGAAATAAGAATAAAATAAAATAATTTAAAAGATATAATTAGTTGTCAGTGTAAAAAATTTTACACTAGCAATATATGAATGATTAACTCTATGTATATAAGAGATTAAGAGAATAATTTTACCACGATTTTAATAATAAAAAAAATTAATTCTCGCATGACCATGGACTTTACGGTGTCTACACGTTTATTTACCATCATATTGCAATTATATAATGTTACTAGTGCAAAGATGAAACTAAAGCTAATGCCTCAATTTATTCGGCTCAGTGAATGTGAATGCATAGAACCCACTTTTGCCCAATCCAAAGCCAGAATTCCCCCTTTACTCCAATTATTAGCATGTTTGCATTCGAGTTGTGACGTTTCACGTTTACCTTGACATTAATCTTGAAGCAAAAAAATATTAACTTTTACGTAAAATCTACATTTGACGTGGAGAGAGAAAAAAAAAAATAGCGTTAGAAAATAAATACCAAACACATCATTCTTGGACCATTAAAATTAATTAACACCGAGCTTGTGGATATACAGGGTCCACATAGTTTGACGAAGATATTGACGTTAGTTTTACGTTTAAACAAGTGGTGTATTTATATTATATAAACAGATGGATGTGCTTTTGTTAGCACTAAGGACGTACAAATTATCCAAGAGCGTGCTCAACAAAGATCAAAATCAAATGAGTATGGAGTGATATGTGGGGCATGAAAACCAACATATATTCCATCATTACAATATAAATATGCATCTTCATCTACAAATCATTGCTTGTCAACATATAAATTTGCAAATTCAACACCCAAGACTTTTGCATGAGTGGTGGATAATAATTTGTGTGAAACACAGTATGTTGATTTGTGCCTTTTCAATTCATCACAATGTACCACATGGAATACAACCTCCTTCCAACCTCAACCGCTACCACATAAATTTACGTGACGGGTCCTACCAACTAGATAACTGGCACCGATATTTTTCCCACGCAGATGCAAACATGTACGACCATGTAGCATTCGAATGCTACAAAGATGTTGAAATAGTGGTGCAAAATACAAATAGAGACAGCTGACATGTATTAAAATATATTATATATTGCCTTAAATTAAATATCACTCCACCCTCCCCCTCCCTTACCACAGTTTCAGATTGCAAAATCAGGGTGGCCAAAAATTTGTTGCATAGTTTCACATGAAAAACTAAATGTCCCCCGTGAAGCCTGCACAGCTAAGCCCAACTCACACCTAACAGCTCTTTGATGTCATGTCCCATTTGCAGCCAGAAGAAAGGGCGAATAAAATAAAATGAAAGGCCATCATGAACGTTGTTAAGATTCTGTTTACATGGCAAACACTACAGAATACCATGTCTTTATCTGAAAAACATCGGGAAATGCCTAGGCATTCAGTATCTCTATGTGACAACATTTTTCTATGAAAATAGTTAAGGGAACAACCTTCCAATTCCAAGTTCCAACTTTTTTTTTATATTATGAGAAAGATAAGTGCTAGCAATACACTATTTTATTCGTTAAAATTTATTAAAAACTATAAAATAAAGAGAGATAATCATTAAATAGGATGCAAATTCTCTAAATTTTGTGGTTTTCAACAAAAATTCAACTAATTAGAAAGCAAGTTCAAAATTGTATTAGAATTAGAAAGTGTGTTGTTAACATTTCTCTTGTGAGAAAATATGTATTTTTTATATTAGTATGATGACCTCTACATAGTTGCTGGATTGTTTAAATGATTGGCTTGAAACTGTCTTAAAAGCAGCAGGGACTGATGATAAAGATTGAGATCAATCCCATCAACATTTCTACCAACTCGTGCCTGCAAAACTCCCTAACAAAGAACAAAGAACCATGTTCAATCATCTTCTCAATGAGACTGTTGTGCATGTTGCGAGTGAATGTGTATTTACAAAGTTTGTTATGTGTGTTTGCAGGAGAAAACAGAGAGAAGTATGCCTTTTACCAAATCTTGACAAGCACATACCTCATTATCTGGTTGGATAAGGAGTTCACCAATGAATTGGTAGACAGATCCAACATGAAAAATAAGGTCCCTTAGATGTTCAGTATTAACCTTTAGAATGTCATCACCATCAATAATTATTGCTAGGCCTGTCTCTGTAGAGTATTCCTGTAACCTGTGGAAGGCTCCTCATAAGTTATTGAATGACACTTTACTGCCATCACCGGCAGCAGCAACATCAAAAGATATATAATAGAGCCATTTGGTTTGTCAGACTACAGCAACTTGTACCGGTAGAATGGATATTGGCAATTGGATAAGGAATTCAAATATCACAACAATATGTATGGACTGTTTCAATTATTAGTAAATATCGTACATGGTTTATTACTCTCTGTTTTTACCAAATTCAGTTTTGATCCCCCCTAGTTTTAGTTGAAGATAGTTCTCAAATTGATGCAATTCCAATCAGTATTATGTTACTTGACTACCATATCTACAAAATATAATCGCACATGACTCTTATCATCAGTTTAATGTCACATCAACAAAAGACATCGCATTAGTAAAAACTAAGGACTGAGAAAAATCAACAGCAATCTAACAATGAACTTAATTGCATCCATTTAATATCTATAGGTGCCCATTATCAAAATAGGAACTAGTGGGTCCAAAACTGAACTTGGTGAAACTCGAAAACCAGAAATGTAAGTAAAGCTGTTTTATATGTTAGTAAAAGTGTAAAACTCTTTTATTATGCAGGCACGTGAAGATAAAAGAGACTTTAAAATGCCACTATCACTTATTAGGGTGACACATGAATGCAGAGATGATGTATTCCCACAAAATAGCAAGTACTTAGTACAATACATTATTACAATAAACTCAATCATAGAATTTAAAGTGAAATCACTTCCAAAATGTTTGTGATCAGGTTTCATAACTGAAAACTAATATACGTATGATTGTTAGCAAGTTGAAATCTTCTTCAAGGTCCAATAGATGAAAAAAATGTATTTTATTGCAGATTGTTGATGTGTTATTTGATATTGTTGGAAACGAAAACAGGTGAAAATGAAAGTCTAGAGAAACTGTATTGAGTACATTCAACCGAGAAAAAAAAACTTGCAGTGTAATTTTGTTATATTCTAGTAAATATTGAACATATGTTTCTTATATTGAAACTTGTTTCTCCAATCCTAGTCTACAGACCATGACTTTGAGAAATGAGTCAATCTATTCATATTTTTAGCAACTTTGAAAATCATTAACATTCTGAAATGTACAGATCTGATCTGACACATGACATACGCCAACTATCTACAAGCTGGCAAATCTTCAGGCAGTTTAGCATTTTCATTTGAGTTCCATCTATATGATGGACAGTAAATTTACCATACTCAAACTGCCATCATACCATACCAGAAATGTCAATGTTGCTGTTCCCAATATCCATCCATGGCAAAACCAAAAAACAATTGCTGCTATGCTCACCCTGCTAGCATGCCATTTATAATTCTTCCAAGCACAACATAACTAATGGTATCCACATGACCGTCACAACTATAAGTCATAAATGCATAACCAGATCTATGGATGGGGATACTAACATAATGCAAGCTGAATCCTTGAAAGTGTTTCAACTTTCAACTCATATTCACTTACCATGATTGGCAACAAAACCCAAAGAAAATGAATTTTAACATTATTTTGTGTGCAACATTGTCACTACAGCTGTTAAACATCTCACTAAAAGAAAAGACACAGATACATTGGAGTTAGAATGGCAGCACTCACTTTCCAATTATTCTGAGCGAAGCTCCTTGCTTAAAAAAAGGAGATGATGGGCGCAGGTCTTGTAACGAAACCAATGCACCAGATTTTATTTCCAAAGATGCCATTAGGCTTCACCTAATATCAAACAAAACTTCCACTTTTTCCTGCAATTTAGCAAACATAACATATGCAATGATGACATTTCCCAAGGCACAAATTCATGTTTAATGGTAAGTTTCATATTACTAAAGCTTCTGTAGCAATCATCTACCTCAAGACAACCTTTTAACTCTAACATAGTGCCATATGATATCATCACATAATTTATTTTATAAATAATGTCCTTCACAAATGAAGGATACTCGTTCACAAATCACAACTTCAACAAATTCCTAGTCAATTAATTATTCTCCATTGCTGTCTATCCAAGTTTGGTTTTTGATATTACAATTTTCACAAGCAATTTCTGAAGGAGCAGTAGGCAAATAGCGTTAATTATTAAAAAGCTTTGTCTTCATAGCAAAACCATAGGACACAGAATATCTAGTTTCAAATCCTTGATATTATTATTTTTTATTAGGATAATTATTATTTATGATTATATTATTTTATTAGAAATTTTCTGAACAAGAGATTCATTACTGATATGATTGATTTGGATTTGTGACTCAGGAAGTCCGAAGGTGTTCAGGAATAACAGCTTTCCTATGGACTATATAATAACGGTTTCAAAGCATGAAGCATCCTATTGTGTAACCCTAACTATGAAGGATGGTATAATCTAATCAGCTATTGAAGGAAAAGAATCAAGGATAAATGTTGAAAAAGTGATCATTTGTTGGCACTGTAACAATTCATATCTTAATTATTTGGCAAAGGAAGTAATATTCCTCCTCCCCGCTACTTTTTCCTCGAAACGAACATGTTGCTGTGAACTTGCATTGGTATAAAATTTTATATACCTGATACACCATAATGCCACTAAAGATGAACAAATTTATAGAATAACAACAAAGCTAGATCTAGTTGAGGTTTAAGGATGTTATAAAACGGTTGAATAGCAAGTAATTTATGAAAAGCAGAACAGTTAGCGAAATAACAAAAATGGAATGGGAGAGAGAAAGGGACTGACCTCAATGGCTACTTGATTTGGCGGCGACCTATGAGGCTGCTGCGTCGTTTCGCACCGATTTCAAGAACGGCAAAGGAAGAATAGCGTTTTGCCTTTCGTGTGATACTTATGTCAAGTCTCAGTTTGTTTTAAAACAAAATGTCTGCCCTGTATATCAAACACAACAACATTGGGAGTTTTTAAGAATTTTGGGCTTTTTACCCCCCTCATGTTTTTAGTCCACTCATTTTTTTTTAAATAGAAAAATGATTTAAATTAATATATCACTGGTCCTGGGGATGACAATGGAGCTCCATGGGGGCGGTAATAATAAACCCGTCCCCGTCCCGCTAGATGAAAATTGGCCCCATACCCACCCCATATTCGCGCGGGTATCCATTAAGCGGGTATCCATGAATTTTTTAAATATCCACGGATATCCATGGATATTTATAAATTTTTTAAAAAATTAAAAAAATTATATTACAAATAATTTTAAGTTTATATTTAATGTCATTGAAATATTAAAAAAAATTTAATGTTAATTTTGAACTTGTATTTAACGTTAATTTTGTTAAAATAATAATAAAAATACAAGATAATCAATAACTTAAAATACATCAATCTCATAAGTAAGTGAAAGTCTCATGTTACATAGCTACAATTATTCAATCTCATAATTCCAAACGAAAATAAAAAACTAAAAATACATAAATTTTATTGGCTCAATCAAAGATAGAAAATTAATCAAATTACATCCAACATAATTCTATAACATGCTTAACACATGTTGGTAACTTCATCAACCTCACTTTTGTAAAAAAATTAGATGTGAGAGGGGAGTTTTAGGGTTATGTGGCACAAGGATTATTAGGGTATTTAAGAAATATTATTAAACGGGTATCCACGGGTATGGATATCATCATACCCGCCCCCGCCCCGGTTATAAATAGGTAAAAAATTATCTGTCCCCATTATCCGCGGGTACCCAATTAGCATATCCATTTATTATCCATAACGGGTTTTACATGCAGATACCCGCGGGTGCGGATATTTTTGTCATTCCTAACTGGTCCTCAACTTATTTTTAAAATGTTTAATTTGGTTGTAAAAACTTAAAATTTAGATTTTTATTTTAATTTTTCAATTAGTCTCAAGAGTTAATTTACGACAATTTAAAACTATCACACAAAAAATAATTAAATATTAAACCTAGAAAAACCAATCTAGAGTCACACACAATTCGGAAAATACAGCACTGGATAGTGAAGATTTGGATGTATTAAACAAGAATTTTTTTCTCAAATAATATTTTTTTAAAAAAATTATAAAAAAAAATATCTATTACACATTATTTACCCAAATAGACCTCTTTATTCTTCACGCTCAGAATTCGATTCCCGGATAACCGAATTTTGAATAGTGTTTAAATTTATTTTTTTTTTCGTTTTTGGTTCAGGAATGTGACAATTTTGCAACTGGAATGGACCGTTCTCCAAAACCCTAAACCATAAACTCCAAGAAGAACGACCCGTTCTAATCTATTCGTCATGTGTATATTTTTTACCTGAAATAGGCCGTTCTGATTGTAAAACGGCCTATTCTGAATCCAGTTTTCCTCTTTCTCAAAAACTAAAATACAAAAAAAATAAAATAAAAAAATAACACTGCTCAGAATTCATCAAACAATCGTTAAATAACGTGTAAATAATGTGTAATAGATTTTTTTTGTAATTTTTTTTAAAAAATATTATTTTAGAAAAAAAAAATCATCAAACAATCGTTAATAATAAAACTCAACGATACAGCCTCTTTTAAGTGCCAAACTATCTTCAATGGTTTAGTACAAAACTTGCGCTTTGAAGAAATCCGCTAATGAAGTTCGGAATGAGGAAAAACAAGAAAAGAACGAGATTGTGGTTAATAAAATGGAAAGCATTAGAGAGAAAGAGAAATGTACAGTGGGTTGGGTCGGGCCGGGGCATGACCCGATGATTATTACAGAAGATTCTCACAAATTATTCTCATCCCTTATTTATAACGAAAAAATAGTTGATCGGTCATTTAAAAAAAAAAATCTTTAATTATGATTTATTTACTTCACCTTTTTTTATAAAAAAATTATATGTCTAGTAAATTGGTTTAAGTTTATGATGATGTTACGTTATCCTTTTTACTTGATTTAATGTTGATTCATTTTAATCCTTTTAAGTTTTCTTTTTTCATTATTAATATTTTTTTCCTTCATTCCCTTCTCTATTAGAGAAGAAAAAAAAATCATAATGCAACAATGAGATGAAAATGGAAGTATTCCACTCCTGTGAAAATGTTCTATACAATTAAAAAACCAAAAAACAAAACAACGTTAACATCCATTGAATTTATTTATTTATTGTTCTTCTTACAATCCATTTACATTACACATGCAAAACAAAACATAACACACTGTGTTTGCATGAAGTTGTGGTAATCCTAATGTTTATTCTGTCTTCACGATAAGTGATTCAAATCCATTGCTAGTGTTGGCCAAATGGTTGGCATCCTTTCCAAATACCATCCCTCCATAGCCATATTGTTGAATAACCAACAAAGACGAGCGCGAACCAAAATTGTTCGAAGCCAAAATATCCCCTATAACTCCGAGTTCTAAGCAATCACACCACTCTAACAAATTCGAAAACACGCGAGAGTTCCTACAATTCCCTTGTCCAACAATGTATAAATCACAACCGTTTTTCTCTAGATCATTGAGGACCGAGGGAATATCTTCACCACTATGGACATCAATCTCTGAGTATGATATAGAGTCCTCATTGTTCACTGCGGTAAGTCTAAATGAACTCACATACTCATCATCCAACTCTTTCTGCTTCTCATTATCCATAACAGCAGATAATATCCCTTGTGCTTCCCCGTGATTTGAAGTATCAACTTCTGCTGCTTCATCCAACAAAAAAATCCTAACCACTGATAGTTGAATTCCTGGATGTCCTGCCATCCTCCATGCAATAGCTAATGCTTCACGATCATCAGGGCCTCCAACAAAGAGCATAAGAATTCTGAGGCCCTTTTTTGGAATTGATCCGAAATCACGATCAACAAAGATTCCAACAGAACAAGGTGCAAATTGCATTACATTTTGGTTTATTTCTTTGTAAGCAGCATTGGTCATTTCAAGTGTGCCTTCTGAGGTTAATTGTTTGTGGAATGGAAGGAGGACCAAGCTTGTGAATTTCTCACTAGCCGAGTTGTATATGTCCTCGTGAATGGTTGAATAGGCTGACACAATATTTAAGGTCTCAATTCTGACAGCATCATATACCTCTCCCAATGCATCGAAGGTGCTGGCAATGTTTTCTAACTCTACCTGTGATCTTGTCAGATTTTGTACTCCAGGTTGGCCACTAGGCTTCTCCATGTGCGCAGCAACAAGTGCAGCAGCACGTCCAGTGAGTTCAATAAGATACAAGGCAAAAACATGTATAGGGGAAAGTCTGGTCGCATTGAGAGATTCAATTATGCTGATCATGCCTGTGGCTTGGCGAGTATTGTGGACACATGCTAGAATTCGAAGCTCTGCATCAAGTCTTAGTTTCTGTATTGTCTTCAGCTTGTTCTGCTCAAATCTCTTTCTCGGTCTGTACACAGCATTGATGATAGGAGACACTGCTACAGTCATTAGAAGAACAGCTGAAGTAACAACAGCATAGGTAGGTACAGAAAAAATCTGCAATAACACATTAGAGAACTTGTAGATTAGACTGAAATTGCATCAATGAGTAATTTCAAGGATAAAACTTACATGCAATGCCAAACATACTACCATTAGTGTTGTTCTACCATCAAAATTAGAGTTTCACCCAATAACATGTGTAATAAAGAATTTCATACAAGATAAAAGTCAATTCTACCTGAAGAACAACACCAACGGTATAAATAGTGTTATATCGAAGTTTTGTTCTAATTTTAAATAGAGTTTAAAATAGATGAATACCGATCTATCCCAAGCAATGTTTAGCATTATGAGTGCCATGGCGCCCTTGGTATTGAGAAGCAAGCCTAGGGCTAAACCGTCTTGAGTGCGCATACCAAAGAAGAAAGTGACGAATATAGTGCTTAAAATCTTTAGAGTACACAACAAGAGTATAACAAGCAGTGTCATGGGCCAATGTCCTTCGAGGAAAATAGTGGCCAACATAAGTCTCATTCCAGTGCCACCAAAGAAGAGTGGCGCTAGAAACCCGCCAGCAAAATCATCTAAAATGGACATGAGATGATCTGCAAATCTACCATGAGGTAAAATCAATCCATATACAAAAGCCCCCACAATGCCATGTGCGCCAAGAATATCTGTAATGTATGAACAAGCAAGAACTCCCATCACCACAAAGATTAATTGGTTATCATCCCACTCATCCTTTTCTGTCTTGCGATCAATGATCCTTGCAAGGATTGGACGTACCACAAATACGCAAACAACAATGAACAATGTCGTGCTTAGCACCGAGTACACAGCTTTTTCACCATTGATTGCAAATGGAACCACTAAAGTGAAAAGAATCCAACCATAGGTCTCACCGATCATGGCTGCTGTTAAAGCTGCTTTGCCAAGACCAGTGTAAAGGAGCTTGAGCTCAGAAAGTGTGTGAGCCAAGACAGGAAAACCTGTAACGGTGAGAACCACGCTCCAAATTAAAAAAGCACTACTTGTACTTTCTTCAAGGTGTATATTTACATCATTTTTGCCGTAAAATTTTCGAAGTAGAACATACAAGGCCGGTGCCATCACCATGGGGAATATGATCCCCGCAATTGCGATGCTTGCGGCTTTCTTTTTTACTTGTAGAATGTTGTTTAAGTTCATCTCCAAACCACTGAGGAATGCATAGAATATGAGACCAATGTGTGCCAAGACTTCGATATTAAGGACTCCGTTTACAGGAAATATGAACTCAAAAACTGCTGCGGATCTCCCAAGTAATGGTCGAGTTAGTAGGAAACCAACCTACATAATTAAATTTAGAATACCTGTAAGTTATCTTATTGGAACCCATATGAGAATTTCTTACAACAATTTATCATAAACAAAACAACTTATAGTTTGGATATCGACATAAAAAAGTTTTCAACGGTTTCTCTATCAAAAATAAATAATTTTTTCAAAAAAAAAATCTCAAAAATACTTCTGATATCTTTATATTAACTTACAGATATTTGTGCAATAAGACGAGTTTGACGGAAAGGTTTGTAGATAAGGTAGAAAAGACGAGACAGCAAAACGGTAAAGGCAATTTGAAAAGCGAGAGTGGGAAGCTCCTTTTTTAAGACGTTATCAGTTTGCCAGATTCGATTAGGATTAGTCACATAAACCTTATAACATGCAGGTAACGTATCCGCCATAGTTTCTCTGGTATTGTATCCGATATGTGACTTTCAATTTTTCTTCTATTATACTGGTTTTTCCTTTAGAACCTTTTTTCAGTTAATGTTTTATTCTTTGCTTGCATGATAACAAACGATCCAAATTTGGGAGGACACTATACGCATGCATCTATTTGAGGTGGCACTTATCATTAGTTGTAATTTCATCTTGTACACCAAAAAGAGTTGTGATTTTCTATTATTGGCTTATGTTGCTGTATATCCACCCCTATTCTAAAGGAACAATGGGAATAACGAATTTCTTTTTTATTTTATCTAACTCATTACACGCGTTGTGCAATGTCATTTGTCAACCAAATAGCTTTAGTGTTTCTACATTAATATTCCACTGATATCTAATACTTCCTTTCTTACAGACATGCATGCTAAATTGTAACATGAAATGGTTTTGACTCTAACATTTAAATTTCAAAATCCTATATATCAAATACAGTGTCATCTATGCAATTCCAAAACCAATATTCTAACTAACAATAACTAAATGGTTTGTCTACCAATAAAAAGTGGTTGTACACATAAGACTTTCACAGACTTTTCGTTTTTTTACAATCACGATAATAAATGAAATAAGTCCCCAGTCATCTACTAACATACCACTTTCACAAATCTATTTATCGAAAGAAAAAAAAAAAGTCATATTCTTCATGGAATTCAACAAAATAAAAACATCTTTTTCTAAAATAAGAAATAAGTATAAAGGTTGTACATGGTATGAGTACAAGTACAATTACGAAACAGGCCACCTCATAAAGAATTGGTACACGAAGAAAATACATAATTAGTACATTTTGGCAAACTGTTTAATTTTATATTCTATTATATAACTTTATATGATGGAAACAAAAATATATATTGATTAAAAATTTAAAATAAAATAAATAAATATTGATTGCAAATAGAGCGTGCTTAATTTTGTTCTTATATCACGTATGATCATTAAAGTCTAATAAAAAGAAAAAATATATAAGAATAAACTAATATTCAAAAGAATAATTGCATAACAAGTATAATAGTAAAAATAACTATACTACTAAAAATCAATATACAAACCACGCAATACAATATCTCATAGCTTACAACTTTCACAACACATAACAATTTCAACTTATCAATAATTCAACATAGTATACCACAACAACTATATACATCGTCATACATTCAACTAAAAGATCTCTTATAACAAAGGTGAGTAGTTTAAATGGTTTAACCATACCGAACCAACAACACGATCTTTTTACACATGTTAGATAAACAATTGAATTTGGATAAAATCCACAACAACATCGTTTCTCTAATTTCACTACTTAAACTAAGAAAGTCTAATATTCTTGTAGGATGAAACATCTTGAGAGTGAACCTACCACAACTTTAGTAAGTATAACTAAGTCTTCTATGTGATTCGTTTGTCGACTATCCTCCAAATACTACTCTCTTTCTAATACTTAGTTAAGAAGTTTGGTTCTCGACTCTATGCCTTACTCTATTTTGTCGCTTTGTACACGTGTGGTTTGACCTAATCCCATACAAATTAGCATATTGGTCACTTTATAATCAGTATAACTCAACCTAACTCCTATATTGTGGTCACTTATAGACGATATGATTCAACCTTACCCCTATACCGCATCAGTATCAACTAAAGTCTTAGAGGGGACTCAATTATTCATTTCAAGAGTCAACTTCTCAATAAAGGTTTTTCAACATTAGACTCGTGGAACACCACATCAATATCTTCACAATAGGATATCCAACTTTCTAAAACACTTTTTTCTAGTCTTAAGTCAATTAACACAATACAACTCAATGCTTTAAGCATTATTAACACCATTACCCAAACATCACAATAATTTAATCATCTATACATTATCTTAGATTAATGTATAAAGATTTAACAACATACAACATGTAATAGATCCAACTAACCTATATGTGTTCAACACTTAGGTAAGAAAATAATAAATTTTCATTAGGCAATCCATGCTCGATGTCACTTTTCCCATGTCTAACGTCATTGAGATGGAGAGCTCTCAGATTCACCCACGCCCGATGCAACTCAAAACACGCTTGACATGAATGAAGAAAAAACATTTATTGCAAACATGCTTCACATGGCTAAACCTACGCTTGACCTCTTTTTAGGCAAAGAACATCTATCTGACTCATGCTTGGTGTCACCACAATGGCGCTCGACATGGTTTAGACAAAGAACTTCTATCTCAATCATGCTTAACACTGCTCAACTAAACTCGACATCTCCAAGTCAGAGAGCTTAAAGGCTATCACACTCGGTGCCATTCAACCCATACTTGACATAATCAAGTCAAAGAGTTTTTCTCTAATTCACGTCCGATGTCAATGAGACAGAGTTTTTAACCCATGTCATATCCAATGTTCGACTGATAATGAATTCTAGACTTGGCAGATTCACATTTTGGCTGAATCCTACCTGAAATATAGGAAAAACCAATATGCAAGGCACCAATTCATTCATACATGTTATGAGTAACTTGAATCCAACCAGAAAATCCATATGCAACAACAATATGGCTCAAAATCATGCATCTTATCTCAACTATACCACGAGAACACCAAAACCCTCACCCTCAACATTCAAATCTTAAAATGCATCGATAGAGCCATGAATTGACAAAAATCAAACAACATTCAACACCCTAAGTCAACAAAGACTCAATTTTAGTTTCCTTTACCTAAAGATTAATCAGAAAAGGAGGAAGAAAGGAGAACGAAATTGTGTTATGAGCCAACTCCAAAAACTTTGCACCACACTCCATTTCTCAACTCTATTGTCCAGAATTTGCAACCTAGCTACTCCAAATCTCTAGGGAAGGATTGCTCACTCTATAAAAAGGTTTAGGGAAGAAGAGGTTCTCTTAGACTCCATAGTCCTTCTCTCTAGACCATCTTTCTAATTTTTTTAAGAAATAAACTTGTGAAATTCAAGTCTTAAAAGAAATCTTATATTATTTTTTCTTATAGGTTCAATTGAACCTTTGTTCAAAGAAACTCCTAAACAACTAAAATTCCTTAGAAATTTCCTAATTCTAGAGTTTCTCAACATATAAATAACAATTCACCACAACACAAAAAAAATCAATAAAATCAATAATAATTACTAAAATATATAGTGTTACATAAATTATTAAATATTTAAAAATATAAAAAAATTATCTAATTTTAGAATTATTTTTAAATTATTAAATATTTAAAAGTTGGCTAATGTTATTTTTGTAAAATTTAATATTCAAAGTTCAAAAAGAAAAAAAAAATATAATTAAAAAAGTATATATGATGGAAGTTAAATTATCTTATTCAAATTGAATTGATTTATTTAAAGAAGATATTTAATAAATTAACAAAATTAAATCAAAATAATTCAAATTTCAACCATTTTAAATTTCCAAAATTGTAAAATTTTCCATCCAAATGTGAGTTTGGGTCTCATCACTCTCATGGAAGCCGAGGCTTTCTTCTCCCCAGAGAAGTTAAGCAATTGTCATTGTTTTTCTTCACTTTATGGTTTTCTTTTTTGCATGATTTGAATGTTCTATATTTCTTTGGCATAAAATGGTTCTTTCCTTTTCTTTGTATTCCAAAATTGAACGCAATATACTATCCTTCTATTGTATTGTTACGCTTACGCCAACGAAAGATGGATTTAAAAACTGGCTAATTTTCCATCTTTCCTCAATCAAGAACTAGAATTTTCATTTTCTTGAAATGAGATATTTATTTTAAAGATAAAATAAAAATATTTATAGATTATAAGTTGAACAGTTTAAATTATAATTACAAGTATGTATAATAAGTGGGGGAAAAAATATGAATATATCAAACTGCCCGAAACTTTCTTAAGTTATTTAATTTCATTTCCTTATAATTTAATTTCAAAATTTATTTAGTCAAAATTCAATCAGGTACCAACATAAGACGCCGCAACTTGCAACCTGTTACAGTTTGGGTTGTCACTCTGTCAGCTACGGCTGCGCTAGCGGATTCAACTTAATAACCTCATTTGGTCAACCAAATTCTAAAATAATTTTGGGTTAATAATTTATATATATATATATAGGCAAATAGCGTTAATTATTAAAAAGCTTTGTCTTCATAGCAAAACCATAGGACACAGAATATCTAGTTTCAAATCCTTGATATTATTATTTTTTATTAGGATAATTATTATTTATGATTATATTATTTTATTAGAAATTTTCTGAACAAGAGATTCATTACTGATATGATTGATTTGGATTTGTGACTCAGGAAGTCCGAAGGTGTTCAGGAATAACAGCTTTCCTATGGACTATATAATAACGGTTTCAAAGCATGAAGCATCCTATTGTGTAACCCTAACTATGAAGGATGGTATAATCTAATCAGCTATTGAAGGAAAAGAATCAAGGATAAATGTTGAAAAAGTGATCATTTGTTGGCACTGTAACAATTCATATCTTAATTATTTGGCAAAGGAAGTAATATTCCTCCTCCCCGCTACTTTTTCCTCGAAACGAACATGTTGCTGTGAACTTGCATTGGTATAAAATTTTATATACCTGATACACCATAATGCCACTAAAGATGAACAAATTTATAGAATAACAACAAAGCTAGATCTAGTTGAGGTTTAAGGATGTTATAAAACGGTTGAATAGCAAGTAATTTATGAAAAGCAGAACAGTTAGCGAAATAACAAAAATGGAATGGGAGAGAGAAAGGGACTGACCTCAATGGCTACTTGATTTGGCGGCGACCTATGAGGCTGCTGCGTCGTTTCGCACCGATTTCAAGAACGGCAAAGGAAGAATAGCGTTTTGCCTTTCGTGTGATACTTATGTCAAGTCTCAGTTTGTTTTAAAACAAAATGTCTGCCCTGTATATCAAACACAACAACATTGGGAGTTTTTAAGAATTTTGGGCTTTTTACCCCCCTCATGTTTTTAGTCCACTCATTTTTTTTTAAATAGAAAAATGATTTAAATTAATATATCACTGGTCCTGGGGATGACAATGGAGCTCCATGGGGGCGGTAATAATAAACCCGTCCCCGTCCCGCTAGATGAAAATTGGCCCCATACCCACCCCATATTCGCGCGGGTATCCATTAAGCGGGTATCCATGAATTTTTTAAATATCCACGGATATCCATGGATATTTATAAATTTTTTAAAAAATTAAAAAAATTATATTACAAATAATTTTAAGTTTATATTTAATGTCATTGAAATATTAAAAAAAATTTAATGTTAATTTTGAACTTGTATTTAACGTTAATTTTGTTAAAATAATAATAAAAATGCAAGATAATCAATAACTTAAAATACATCAATCTCATAAGTAAGTGAAAGTCTCATGTTACATAGCTACAATTATTCAATCTCATAATTCTGTGAAAGTGCACCTCTTCAATTTGAAAAAAACACTTATAAATATCTTGTTTTTTAATATTTTGCCCATTTTAATTTTATACATTTGAACTCGTTGTATTTAATGTCCTTGCTAACTTAGATCCTCCACTTTGTAGCACCAAATTTAGTGAGTGAATTTGCACACATAATATGTTGGGAAAAGATGGACCTATGTTGAATAATAACACTTATAATCAAAAATAGTTAGAGGAATATAGGGTGGAAGAAATTAAAGTCTTTTTAAATTAAATTTCAACCAACTTGTGAGTCAATTTCACAAATGACAAATCTAAATCCATCATTCCAGGCTTTATTGAGTCCATGGCAAATAATGAAGATGATCTCTAATGGTATTTTAAAATCTAAGTCACCAGGAGTACCAAGTGAACTTCTATTAGTGTTTAATTTGACAAAAAGGTTCCCATGGTGGTTTCCATTTTCCAACCGATATAATGCTTAAGTTGTGAAAATAATGACATATAAGTGTTAATTATTTCATTGTTATCGTTTGCATGATAATTATTTTATTACCATTGGTATTAAAAGTTTCTATTACTTATTTGTCAAATGGACTAATTGTTTATCCACTATATAAGAAGTGACAAAGTGAGTCTAAGGCTATAGAGGCAGTTTCTATTTCATATATTTTTCTTCATACTCATTATTCTTCTAGGTATTGTTTATTGTGACACCCTCTACCCCACACATAAATATATAATTATATAAAATAATAAGAGTAAATAGAAATCTTTGTAATTAGAACAACATCTCAAATAACATAAGGGTAAAAGGCTCACATTCACATCTTAAAACACTTTCATAGTGAAGTAATTCAATTATCAAAATAACCTAAGTAAATAGACAATTTAATTATAATTAATGAACGGAATAACATATAAGTAATCCAATTTACAAAGTAATAAAATACATCTTATTCTATCCCTTGGTTTCACATGTCATAATCAGAGCACGCCCAATACAGAAGCCTAAGTTTCATCACTAACAACCACCTGTTGATGATCACCTGCAATACAATTTTAAACATACACAAATAAACAAGAGAGTGAGAAACATCTCACTTGGGTTCAAGTGCAAAAAAAAATTGTTAGATAACACACACAGAAAGCAATCACAAACAAGGCACACATATAAGCCATACATAAAATAATAACACATGCACGATCACTTATCATACAATAATGTCATGGACTTGACACATAAATGCATGTATGTGGCGCCAATCACATATCACGTGGTATGCTGTTGAAGCAACATACCTGAAGTAGTTTAGGAGTACATGTCGGCTCAACCGCGCACTCTCAACTAGAAGGATCTACTGCTAAGGTCTTGTCGGGATAGCGAAGTCACACTAGATATGTCCCATGCACACAAACAGGTAGAACTGAGCCTTCCAAACCGCGCTATCCCCTAGGACTCCTTCAAGATGTTTCACTCGAAGGGTTTTCCCTAACTATGTACTCGATATTGTACCCCCTGTCACATAGATGCATATGATGCATGTCACACATTCACATGTTCATGGACTCAACAATTCACTTGTCATGTCTCATCATGTCATTTGTTCTCATATCACATTATCACACTCACAATCACATGTTTGTCCTAGTGTACTAGAATCTAGAATGGGGGTTGAATAGATTCTATCATAAGATAACTCTTTTTTCGCACAATTCTTGAAAACAACCTATAAAGAATCTAAAATACAACTTTTATGCAATTTGAATAACAAAGAACATTAGATTACAAGGTTTATTACTGACCTTCTTTTTAATCAAATTCAATTACAAGAATCATAATCAAAGTTGGTACTGTAATTGAAATTTTGTTTTTCACAAATCTTTAAAATCTTTAAACAAGAAATCAACAAGATTCTTAAAGATAAGGGTAAGAAGATAAAGAACACAGTATCAAAATTTAATCTGAAAGTAAGCGAATCCCTCCATTATTATAAGTATTTAACATTGTCAAAATTGTTCACTAAAAAGTATTTCATTCAAACCCAGATTCGTTTTCCCATCCACGACTCGAAAATATTCAACTTATTAAAAAAAGTATACAAAGTCAATGCTTGTTTATATAAGAACGATTATTAAATAAGAAAAAATGTCAGCACAATTGGCGTTGATTTAATGTGATTTTATTTTTTCTAAAAATAAAAGGTGACATACTAATTGAACTAAGTAGTCTTTCATTTTTAAATAAATTATAATCAAATCAATATATATAAAATAATAATTTTGGTATTTAAGTAGGATACAAATAAATCCATTTGATTGCAAATTCAATCATGTTTAACCGTTCAAATAGAAATAATGAATTATAAAAGGAAAAAGAACCTTTTAAATAAATATTCAATACTCAATTGTTTTGTTTAAAGAGAAAAAAAAATTATCTTCCCAACAAAACTATAAAAGTATAAAATATTTGTCTAAAAAATATCATTATCTTTTATAGAAAGAAAATAAAATATTTTATTGAAAAATTAAAAGACAAATAATTCATTAAAGTAACTATTAAAAATTAAAACCACAATTGATTAAAGTAACTATTAAAAATTAAAACTACAATTGATTAAAGTAAAAAAAACTAAAATTCTAAACTAACCTAACTTTAATAAAAATTATTCACTAGCTAAATAACCGCACTAACTTAGTTTTTTTTACTAGTTAATTACATGAATTAGTCTAATTAACAGAGTAAAATAATTTAGCTTTTTTACTAAATCACTAAACTAATTTAATTAATAAATACAAAAGTAATTAATTAGCTATTCTAATTAACTTATACTAACTACATGTTATATGACTAAATTTTTTGGTGTCAAAGTTGGTGCCCATATTGAGCCAAAACTAAGTCAATGGCAAATTTATACCTAAGGTGGTGTCCAAAGTACGATAAACTAAACGAAAAATTAGTTTAGGCAATTTTAGGAACAAATAGAGTGTAACAACAAATCAACCAAATGTAAATAATATCAACATGTATAATGGTCCCAACAACATGCAATGAACATATAATTGCACCAAAATAATTAAAAATAGCAAAGAGACAAAGCAAAAAAGATCAAAATAGGTGTTAATTAGGTATAAAATTCTTCGTGATCAATGACAGACACAATTATAAAGGAGGAATTTAGGTCGCAAACAACAAACAATGGCAAAAAGAAATTAACATGAAGGTGTGAGTAGAGAGTGAAGAAAATGTGATCACTAAGAGCATAAAAAGTCACATTTTTCATTGATTGTAAATACTATTGATGTAGAACACACATTTATATGTCAAATATGTTAATAATTAACATAGAAAAATTGGTTAAATTTGTAAAAATGTCATTCTTCTCATTCTATATTAATTGTTTAACAACTAAAATAGAAGTACAACGTTAAACAATATTTTTGTACTAATGTAAGAAAGAACATATTATTATCAAAATATTAATGAATAATTATTATGCGAGTTATAGATGTTATTTTTAAAATACACTAGAATACAAAATAATAAAGGTTAGTTGACTTTAATTAAGTTGTCCTAATTATCATATAAATCATGTTTTCCTTAATATTTAATATGAAAGACAGAATTGTGTATCAAGATATTTTTTAATTACATTAAGGAAAGTACTAACCAGAATTCAATCTCAAATACATTATCTTATGCAGGTTAAAATTTATAAAATAAAAAATTATAAAATCACAAGCGAGACTGGTTAAATAAGAATCAAGATCATACACTTTTTATGATTTTTAATAATTTATATTTTGTATAATTGCATGGTTAACATAATAATTAGACATGGTGAACTTATACATTATAGAGACTTTTATTTAATGAAGAACTTGTATTTGATGTTGTCATATGCAATCAGTTAGGGACAGCCAGACTAAATATACTAGTAACACATTCTAATTTTTAAAATAGTTAAAATATAGTTTTTTTTTTCTTATACGTTGCTTGATCAACTTATCCATTATTACATGAAGTGAATCTGACGCTCCAACAATTCTTGACTACACATGATGCTCGTATGCATCCCTTCGCCCGACTTGACTTTGACAAATATTGATTATTCTTTGGTACTATCTCTAAGTTTCCAGTTTCCAGTTTCCATTATAATAATCCCATATCTCGTTGTTTCACAAGTTATCCACGACTAAACGCACCACGTTTTTATATATAAAACAGGCAAGGTAACTGCAAACAACTTATTGTGCCTTGGTCTGGTTACATAAGGAAAACGAAAGCCCCTTGTTTTAAAAACTTCCCATTCAAAATCCAAATATCTCATCCCCAGATTTTTCTTCCACTGAAACACTACCAAACAAACACGACAGCGTGAATTTACTTTATGAACGATATGGCAACTTGCTCCACCATAGAATCCTTGCCGTACGATTGTGTTTCTGAAATCTTGTCACGTACGTCCCCTCTAGAGGCATGCAGATTTTCGCTAGTCTCCACCAGCCTTGGCTCATGCGCCGACTCTGACACGGTTTGGAGAGCCTTCTTGCCCTCTGATTACGAGGACATTGTCTCAAGGGCCGTGAACCCCTTCACCCTCCATTTCTCTTCACACAAACAACTCTTCCACGCACTTTGCCACCCCCTTCTCATTGACCACGGCAACAAGGTATCTTCTTTTGTTTAACACTTTTTATTCAAAGATGCAATTAATTGATTCTATTTCCGTGATTGCTATTTGCTACAGAGCTTCAAGTTGGACAAGTGCTGGGGTAAACAATGTTACATCATATCTGCAAGGGAATTGTCAATAGCTAGGGGCAGCGACCCAATGATATGGAGCTGGAGACCAAACCCTGAATCAAGGTTTGCTAATTTACATTTGTTATATAAGAAAGAAAATTTATTTATTATTGTTTTTATTTGAGTTAATTTGAAATTGCAGATTCGGAGAGGCGGCGGAGCTGAGAAGAGTGAATTGGTTAGAAATTGAAGGGAAAATGAGAAGGCGGAATCTTACGCGAAACACGTCATATGGGGCTTATCTGATAATGAAAGTTTGCGATGGAGCGTATGGGCTTGATTCTGCGCCGTCGGAGGTGTCAATTAGCGTCGGAAACAAAGTGCAGCATAGAGGGAAAGCGTATTTGGGTGATAGAAGTGAGAAGAAGCGCAAAATGGAGACCCTGTTTTATGGGAACAGGGCAGAGGTGTTGGGAAACGCAGCGTTTCAAGTTCCCTCGAAGAGAGAGGATGGGTGGATGGAGATTGAGATGGGGGAGTTCTTCAGTGGCGAAGGTGATGAAGAAATCATCATGAGTTTAAGGGAAGTGGGTTATCAGTTGAAGGGAGGACTTATCCTGGAAGGCATCCAAGTCAGACCAAAAACGTCCTACTCTGCAAAATGTTGAACCAATGTTTATTTTTATATTACACTGGAATAAAAAAAATTATTATATTAATTTAGCAAATTAAAATAATTATATTTATAATTTATGGCAGTATTTTTTTTTCTAACTCCGCAAAATTAGATTCCTACTCTTCCATACAGATAATTAAATATAACATTCTTAAAAAAAACAATATTTTTTTTAAATAATAAACTAAGAAAAATAATGTTTATCTTTCTCAATCATATTATTTCTACTATATCTCATATTATTTTTCTCTTTTTTTTTAAAGTTTAATACTTTGTTGTATTAATTATACAATCATTCAAAATTAATGAATTAAAATATAAAAATAACATATATTAAAAATATATTATAAACATTTAAGTTAATTATAATATTTAAAAAATGATTTTAAAGTAAATCAGTGCATAAAAAGTAAGAATAACATTAAAAATTAAAAAAAAATGTTCATAATATATTAAAAATTAAAAATTAATTATACAAGAGACTTACATGTAATTACCTTATTTATGTGAAATAGTTAACATAATACTTAATCGAATTATATACCTAAACATAATTTAATTATCTTAATTAAAAATATTATTCATATTATTAATTAGTGTTTTATAATTAATAATGTTAACACTAAACTAATAATAAGATTAAGAATCATTAAAGTTAATCTATTAATAAAAGATTAAAGTAATATATATAAAATCTTAAATTTAAATACTAGTATTATCATTATAATTATTGTTCTGGAATGCCTAAAAAGTTTCACATCGCTTAGAAGTCGAAGTTAAGAGTAGTTTATAAATATTCTCATCCCTTAACCCACCAAGGCGTCTTTTAAAGGACAAAATTGTAACGGTCTAACAAGTGTCAAAACGGACAATATCTCGGATGTGATGATCCTAACGATGGGCGCCTTAGGAGGGCCTAGACCGCTCTTACCCCTTAGCGAACCTATGGTAGGAACAATTATGATAGATAAATAAAGACCAAAAAGATAATACTAGGGAAATGTTTTTTTTTTTGGAAGCAACACTAGGTATATAAATATTAAAGATTTAAAACTAAAAAAAATTATATGGAATTGAAAATATAAAGTTCTACCTTTGTTGTTGGCATTGAAAATCCTACCTATATGAAAAATCTGCCATGAACTTTTACTATAAATGATGCCGAAGATATTAATAACTGTTTCACTAAAATTAAGAATATAGTATATATTTCTGGTCCTGTGAGATTTATGTACACTTCCAAATTAAGGAATGGTTCTGATTTCTTGGATGTGCTCATGTCCTGTCTCCATGTTGACATATTTATTCAGTGTCATAAAAAAAATGTCGACATACTAGCGATATGATTGAACCATGCATGTCCCACATGCAAAGTATTAAATTATATTATATATAGATAGATAGTAGAACTTGGTCATTGTGAAAGCAACTGTGCATTTGAATTTCCACTTTCCAAAATATGGAACTTTTGCCAGACGATTGTTTTGCACACATTTTATCATTCACATCTCCTCAGGACGTGTGCAGGTCCTCTCTAGTCTCCTCCATTCTGCAGTCAATGGCAGATTCAGATGCTGTCTGGGAGAAATTTTTGCCATTTAATTATCAAGAAATTGTTTCTAGGTTGGTGGCACCATTACTGCCATGTTCGTCAAAGAAAGATTTGTTTGTCAAGTTATGCAAACCACAACCAATTGACGACGGTAACAAGGTACTTTTTCATAATGTCTTTTTAATTTTAAATTTTATATATTTTCTGTTCATGAAAGAACCAGATCCATGAAGTTGGGTCTGCTCGATGACTCTAGTTTTTAGAAAATCAAAAAACATGTTCACTTTCTGTTGGTAGCTTCTTTATATATCGATAATCTAAGAGAAAGAGACGACGCTTCAGTTTGAGGTAAGAAAAACCTCTAGACTCAAAAAGTGTTGATAAAAACTCGAATTTGTGATCTGTTAGATGAGATATTATGTCTTGTTTCACTCGACTAATCTCTTGAAACTTTTTGTAGTGTGCTTTGATATTAAGGCATGATTGCAAATTATGAAGACTCGTAGCAAAATCACAAATGGGTGGAATATTCCAATGTAAACTCACAACTATTGTAGAGCTTACGTAATCTACCAACTCTGTGTACATTTGCTACAGTCTTCAAATGTGACAATCATGCTCATGCAAGACGTTGTTAGGTAAGTTTTGTTAGTGTACCTACCAGAATCGAAGCTTTAATATTAATTGATTGAAAAGGAGTTTTGACAATGTTGCAAATCGGAAATATAACGATCGTACGCTTAACGACAACTGTAGTTATTTACGCTTGATAATGATGGATCATAAAATAAAATGAACCCCACCCTCCCCTACAGACACACGGGCACAATACAGGGACCTATTACCCTGTACTTACTGCTTCCACTGGCCTTGGCTTTGCTAATAACTATTTTATCATTATAACAATTTTTATCTATCTTAATTTGATTGCATATCAGTAAGTTAAATAATTTATTTTATGAAATTAAACATATTACTTATATTTCTTAAGTTTTTATCATAACCTTAAAGGTGAAATAAAATAAAATGGAGATAATTTTACATAGACAACAGTGCAAAATCCTTTTACAATGGTAAAATTATTAATTACACAAGTTACGATGGTGAAAATACTCTTTTTTAAAAAATGATTAACGAGATAAAATGTAATTGTAAATCTATTTAAATACTTAAGTGAAATATTAATAAATAAGGATATAATTAAAAAATGAACAAATGTTTTCATCACTATTATTAATACTTTAATATAGAATAAGGGATAATACTAGGAGAGTATTATCGTATTCAGAAATGAACGCAGCAGTTGCACAGGAGTAATAAGATGCATGAAAGTGCAAAAATTGCAACCAAATGCAGTAGTTGTTAGCTTAAGGTTGATTGCGTATTCTCAGGCGGTGGAGCAAATATGAATTCTCCAAAAATAGTGAATTCATGTTTGCTCTATTGTCTGTGGATGCTGTAATCACCTTCCAAGCGCAATTTAGGCTGTCTTTGTAAGACTTAGAAAATAAACTGAAATTGTTAAAGGATAAATGAAAAATATTCATATTAGATACATGAAAGTTATATATGTCTAGAAGAAATAAGAAAGCCATACTCCAATTACTGAGAAGTAAAAATTACTATCATCATCTCAATGGAAGCGGAAACTTTGTCTCGTGGAAGTGATGGAAGGATAAAAATATTGGTACATAAGGATAAGGTAAGTTCATTTAACGTTAGAGCAAGTTGCAGCATTTATGACAGTACTAACATTACATTACCTTGTGATGGAATCAGATGTTCTGGATTGAGAAAAGAACGGGCAAAATATGTTACCTGTTGAGCGCAAGGGAGCTTTCAATTACATGGGGAAACAGCCTTCTGTATTGGTCATGGAAACCCATTCAAGGATCAAGGTTTGTGCAATCACAATATTAAATTTATTTTTTATTTTTTATTTTTTAATAAACATAGGTTTTTAATACGTAGAATGTAAATTTGGCTCTAATTTAACCTTATAATATATTTAAATTCTTTCATATCATTAGTCACATTTGGAACAGCGATAAAATTGTGTGATTGAAATTTAAGTACATGGTTAATTATGGTATGGGATTTGTTTATAGATTTGAAGAAGCTGCTGAGCTAATAACGACTTGTTGGCTAGAAATCAAGGGTAGCATAAAGAGTGGAATGTTATCTCCGAAAACATTGTACGGAGCGTACTTGAAGGTGAGAATCGCGGATCGTGCTTACGGGTTGGACTCGTTACCGTCGGAGGTGTCGGTAGAGGTTGGGAATCGCAACTCCCGAGGAACTCTTTACATACACTCGCATTGTAAAACAAACCGGAAATCGTCTTGTCATTGTAATTGTAAGCGTGAAGATGAGTGGTCGGAGATTGAGTTGGGGAGTTTCTACACCCATTCCAAAGAAGAAGAAGAAGAAGAAGAGGTGAGAATGTGCCTTAAGGAAGTTAAAGGGGTGCATTTAAAAGGTGGCCTCATAGTTGATGGAATTGAAGTAAGGCCCAAATTGTTGAAACAAGACTCAACATGTGGGCCGTAATGTACATTCTAGGCCCAAACGGAGTATGTTTTATGTAACCCTAGTAATACCGTAGCCGCGCTCTTTATAAACCTCGTGTGCGGTGGTCACTCACCCACTTGAAAAAAAAATAAGATGGCGTCTGGGTTGTGTTGTGTCCCTTCCTATTGGGTTTTTTTCTAGTCAGTTCTTTGCATTGATTTTCCTTGCATCTTATCAATGTCATTGGTTGATTTGTTATGTTTGTCTGGGAGTGCTGATTTTTCGTTTTTCTAATTGCCATTGCAATGATGATAAATGTGAATCCCAGCTCATTATGAGGCCTTTCTTAAGGTCAGGGAATGGAACCCTCCTCACATATATCTGAGCCTTTCTCTATTCTCGAATTAGGGTTAGCACGTTAGAACTGCATTTGGGCGATGTGGCTCAATTTGTATCTTTTTTATAAAAAAAATACTTTGTTATAAAGTGTGTTTCCTACCTTTATAATAATAAAAAATGCTGATTCCTATTACAATGATTTCTTAATTTATCGCGTGTTTCATTCTGTTTGCAATGTTGTTTTCCGTGTTGAAATTTCAAAATCTGATGGCTTTATAAAGGGATCAGTCTTTGGAATTAAAGAAGCATTATTTATAATTATAAGTAATGTTTTTCGTTTGGAACTTGGAAATATCCGAACACAAGCTGTGGGATGTGGCTTTTGTGATGTTGCTGAAGCTTCATTTTAACATGGTAAAGGATGAAATCTGTCCATGATGTACCATGTGGTTTTCACGGATTACAGCAGGTTATTAACAGGGATTTAAATTGATTCTATAGTGCCTGAAAAATGCCTAGTAGTGTTTTATCTTATTGCTGCTTTGCATCTTTTGGCAAAAATACACATACCTGATATTATCCGTTTATTACAAGTTCTTGGGATGGCGGAAGTCATTGAGTCGATTACAATCATCACCCAACAAGGTTTGGAATATCTCAGGAATGGATTAAAATATAATTTTTAATCAGCTAGCATATATTACCTGATTTTCATCTTGATTGGATTCGAAGTTTGAATTTTGTTTTTGGTTTAAATTGGATCCAATCAATTATAAATCATTCATAACGCTGAAGTGACATGTTGTCCAAGTTTCGAATTCCTAAAAAATAGTGGGTTAAGAGGGCTATAATTTTCTATTAGAAACTTCATATAGATGTTATACTAGTCTTAAAAAGTATCTTAGTTATTTAAAAGGTTGTTAACGTTGATATAATTAATGTATAATGAGTTAATCATTTATTCATTGTTAGTGTAAAGTTTTTTATACGGTCAACTAATCATATTTTTTAAATTATTTTATTTTATTTTTATTTAATTAAATGACTAAATGACATGACACTATTAAAAAATATGATTGATTGTTAGTGTAAAAAAAATTTACATTAGTAATGTATAAGTAATTAACTTTTATATAATTTAATAATTTTAAATATATAATGATTTGTTATTGAAGAAAAATATAAAATTTTAAAGTTTAATTTTAATATATCGGCAATCCAAATAATTTTAGATGATTAAATATTTGACAATTAATGTTTAGAATTAGGCATGGCAACGGGGCGGGTACGGGTTTGATGATACCCGTCCCCGTCCCCGCGACTAAAACCCATACCCGTCCCCGTCCCCATACACAATTGGGTTGTTTGTCTATCTCATATTTTAATCAAGAGACTTCTTAATAATTAAACAACTACAAATATTTCACATCATAATAAATAACTACACATAATTAAAATCTTATAAATTAAACAACCACAAATGTTGAGTATTGTCACAAATAAACAACCACAATGTTGAGTTCAAATAACAAAATAAATTGAAATTTCTCAAATAAAAATTAAAATTCATCTTGCAAGTGGAAAATGTTGAGTGTCATTAAGCTTCAATCCACCTATCATAAGACAATTTATAAAAAATTAGAATTGAGTTATGAATGAAAATTTTAAAAATTAGAATTGAAAAATTAGATTGGACTAATGAAATTGAAATCCACTTACAACATATATTAATTTTGCACATGTTCAGTAATTCCACTTGCATGCAATCCACCTGCATACAAAAAAGATAAACTTTAGATATGATAAATCAAATTGAAAATTTGTAATATTAAAATATAATATACCTTCATCATCAGATTCACTTTCACTCATTAAAGTAATTTTTTCTTTAGTGGCTTTAGCACCTACAAACATCAAATATAGAATATTAATTAGAATTGATACAAAATTACTAATTGACCATTAATGCTAATTTATTTTTTATTAATTTACCTAGATAGTCTGAGTTCCATAGCCAACTTTTAGTACACATCAAAGCTTCTACGGTAGTATGATTAAGTCGACTACGATTAGGACTTAATATTTGACCGCCAGCACTAAAAGCAGATTCAGAAGCTACAGTAGTGATTGGAATGGCTAAAACATCCCTTGCAATTGCTTGAAGTGTTGGATACTTCAACCCATTTGTTTTCCACCATGATAAGATATCAAAATCCGATGTAATAGGTAAATTATCTTCCTCCAAGTAATAATCCAACTCTGTTTTCATAGATGAAGTTCTAGCTTTTTTCTTTTTTGCCATGAACTTCACAAAATCACTCATGCCACTATCACCAACATTTCCCTCCTCAAATGATGAAAACCCAGAAGAAGACCCATCATTCTTCTTTGCTTGATATTCAGAAACCAAATCATAACACAATTGACGAATTCTACTAATTTCCAAATCACAATCAATGTCATACAATTTATCAAAATAATATTCAAGCAAATCCATTTTGTACCTTGGATCTAAAACAGAAGCTACTCCCATGATATCATGAATGACACTCCAATAACTTTCAAATTTCTTTAACGGGGACGGGGACGGGGACGGGGCGGGTAAGTATATACCCGTACCCGTACCCGTACCCGATTTAATTTATCGGGTTTTACCCGTACCCGTACCCGTACCCGGTCAAAGCGGGTATTCCCCGTCAAAGTCGGGACGGGTTCGGGTATTACCCACGGGTACGGGTTTATTTGCCATCCCTATTTAGAATGTTAGTATTATACCAAATTTATTAAAAGTGAATGAATATATATATATTTCTTTTATAGCAATCCTAGTTTCTAGATGTAAATGTTGCTTTATTTAATTAAAAAATGAAAAATAAATGAAGAGATGTGAAATAATAAGTGAGAAGAAATAGTTATTAGAAAAATTAAAATTTTCAATTTCATTAAAATATAAAATATTTATCCTTCATCATGATAAATGATAAATATGTTAATTATATAAGTTTTACTTTTTTTATAAATAAAATATATATATATATATATATAAATATTTGTTATATAACTTTCTGACAAACATCAAAATATGTATTTCCACCTTCATATTTTTGAAACAGAAAAATATTTTTTTTAAACAAATGTCGACTTTTTTTTTTAATATATCAATTTTTTTTTATTTTTCTGAATAACCTCACCCCATTTTATTTATCAAAATGACCTATTTACTATTTAAGGTGAGAAATTGGCTGGGGAACCGATTTCTCACCTTCAATTTTTATAACATTGAAAAGTTTGCTGTGAGAAATCGGTTAACGTAAAACCGATTTCTCAACTGCATGATTTTTTTTTTTTTTGGTTTTTGATTTTTTTTTCGTTTTTGTTTTTTTTTTCGTTTTTGTATTTTGTTTTTTTTTTGTTTTTCGTTTTTGTTTTTATTTTCGTTTATGTTTTTTTTTTGTTTTTGGTTAATTTTTTTGTTTTTTTTGTTATTTTTTATTTTTTTTCCAGATTTTTAATTTTCTTATTTTCATATTTTAATTATAAATTTGTGAAAATTTTTAGTATTTTTTAAATAAAATAGTTTAGTTAAGTTTTTAGAATAAAAATAAATAATGAAATAATTATTAATTTTAGATTATAAAAATGTATTTAAAATTAAATTTAAAGAATAAAATTGAATAAAATTAATTTTAAATAGAATATTTAAAAAAGAAAAAATTATGATAAATGACAACTTTAAATAAAAACAACATTAATTGAGATGAACAACTTGAAATAAAAACAAAATACAATAACAAAATAGGAGATCGAATAAAAAAGAACAACAACAGAATTACAATCCAGGAAATTACAATCCAATTTTAATGATGTCTATGCCCTTCGTTCCACACCTCGGAGGTTATCGGTTCCTTGTTGGGTTTCGACGACTAATGCGTGGTTGTTGTGGTTCAACCTGGTCCTTGTCATGTTAAGAACAACAAAATCTAGCTTCCCTTACCTTGGGACAAAGATTCCGAGCTCCAGGAAGAAGAATGGCTCAACGAAGGGGGAGAAACGGACGGAGAAAATGAGAGACTTCAGCTAGCTTCCACTTCACCACTACACAACACCTTGAGAGAGCAAGGAATAGAAGAACAATCAGAAGAAAGGAGAGAATTTGAGAGAATGCAAGTGAGGGAGAAAAGAGAGGCTCCGCGGGGAGGGGAAAGGAGTGGGTCTCACA